GGACGGGGCTGACCTGGTCCGTGCTGGGCCCGCAGGCGCCCCCCCCCGCTGCTCCCCGGGGTGCCGCCTGGAGCCGCTGCCCGCGGGGGTGGATCCCGGGATGGATCCCACAGGATTCCTGAGCCCCCAGCTGGGGGGGGGCGGGGCCTCCAGGGCCGGACCCGGATCCTACGGGAGCGGATCCGGATCAGCTGGTGGACATGGATCCTACGGAGGTGGATCCGGATCCTACGGGAGCGGATCGGGATCATATGGAGGATCAGGATCCCAAGGAGGAAGTGGATCCGGATCAGGGAGACCTGGATCCCAAGGGGGAAGTGGATCTGGATCAGGGAGACCTGGATCCCAAGGGGGAAGTGGATCTGGATCAGGGAGACCTGGATCCCAAGGGGGAAGTGGATCAGGATCAGGGAGACCTGGATCCCAAGGAGGAAGTGGATCAGGATCAGGGAGACCTGGATCCCAGGGGGGAAGTGGATCTGGATCAGGGAGACCTGGATCCCAAGGGGGAAGTGGATCTGGATCCTATGGAGGATCTGGATCCCAGGGGAGTGAATCTGGATCCTACGGAGGTGGATCCGGATCATATGGAGGATCTGGATCATATGGAAGCGGATCGGGATCCTACGGAGGATCAGGATCCCAAGGGGGAAGTGGATCCGGATCAGGGAGACCTGGATCCCAAGGGGGAAGTGGATCTGGATCCTACGGAAGTGGATCGGGATCCTATGGAGGTGGATCCGGGTCTTATGGAGGATCCGGATCCCAAGGGGGAAGTGGATCCGGATCCTCTGGATCCGGTTTCGACGGGACCAGCTCTGGATCCTACGGGCTCCCGGGATCCTACGGGGCTGATTCGGAACCCTACGGGGGCGGATCCGGATCCCAGGGGGGCGGATCTGGATCCTACGGGGGCGGATCTGGATCCTACGGGGGCGGATCCGGATCCTACGGGGCTGGATCTGGATCCTACGGGAGCGGATCCGGATCCTCTGGCAGACCCGGATCCCAGGGGAGCGGATCAGGATCCCAGGGATCCGGATCCTCGGGGCGTTTCCAGCGTCCCGGGTACAAGAACCCGGGGATCCCCTTCGTGCCGGGGCCCCGGGATCCCGCCCGGATCGGGGGCCACGTCCCCGTGCGCCGCGGGCCCGGATCCGGATCCGGATCCGGATTCACCATGGGATCGGGATCTGGAGCCTCCCAGGCATCGGGATCCGCTTTTGGATCCGGGTCGGGATCGGGATCCGCTCCGGGATCTGGATCCACTTTTGGATCGGGATCGGGATCGAGATTCGGATCAGAATCCGGATCAGAATCCGGATCCAGAGCAGGATCCGACCAATCCCAATCCAGCTGTGGGGGGTGTGACAAATAGGGACACCCGGCGCCATGTCTCCCGGACGCCTGGGTCCTCCCCCGGACGCCTGGGTCCTCCCCGAACGCCTGGGTCT